ATGTACATCTGTGGAACAATACAAACAAGCTGCTTCCATGCAAAGTGCTGGCTGTGACAGCAAGTGTTACATGGTCCCGGCAACGTATAAAGGTTGCAGAAGGTCTTTAGGGTTCAAAACGTCTGTTTGAAGGACGTGTTGGTACTCAGACTTCTGAAGTTATTCAAGAAGACTTCAACAAAGTTGCCAGTGGGAGAGCTAAAGAATATGTTCAGGTCTGGTTCTCACACTTCTTTGAAAAGGCAGAAATGGGCTGTCTGGAAGTATATTCACTGAGGGGTCTTCTGACTTCGTGAATGAGGATAACATTCCTGAGGAAGAATTATTGTGCCAGGAAAGTCTTCACTCCATTAATCTATTTTTTTTCCAAGGTCAGGAGTTTACCACTTAGATATAACCAGAAGGTATATTAGCAATCAAGCCTCACAGTCGTTAGTTGAAAAATTGTGAAACTTGCACATTTCTCAGGATATGAGACTCCCCATAACAATAAAGACACTCAGTGTGCCTACCCACAGAGCATTTCTCCAGTGTCCCAGGAGAAAGACATCTAATGAATGAAGAATTAGAGGAAGTCACATTGTTATAGAAGAAGTCTGGTCTTTGCAAGCAGAAGAATCTCATATAGGGATGCCAATGAATCAAAGGAGAGTCTGGCCTCACTGCAAAGTAATGGCAGTTGGAACAGAAGAACAAGACAGGAGAGAAAAGACATAATAAGGTTAAAGTGGAGGGTGGTGAAGAAAAGAGGTAATGAAATGAAGATTTTCATATATGGCTGTAGGCTTATCAGAGTCCGGAGCAACCTGGTGAAGCTCTTTTCTGAACCAAGAAACTTAAGAGAAACCAAGAAGCAGGCAATACAGTGTCTTTAAGATGCTCAGCACAAATGAAGGAATAAATGCTCTGTGGATACACAAAGCATTTTTGAAATATGAAGGGACTGAGGCTCATACACTATCCCCCTGAATGGGCGCAGGGATGAGCACTCAGAGGAGAAGTAGTATTTTGTTGCCAACAGAAGGCACCAACCACATTTTCTGCAACTTTCCACCACCTTCCATATATCTGTCTTTTGTGGCAACAGTGTTGTCAATAATACCTAGGCACAGACTCCTGCCTTGTCGATTTGCAATTTGGTTACTGACAGCTTCCCTCCAAGCTTTTCAATAGGAAGTGAAAGTCAAGTTGACTCTCTGCTACCACACTACTGCACAGATGCAGCAGTTGGTTCCCTTTTCCCACTGGGGCTTTCATTTGGGTTACAGAAAGATAAACTTTAGAAAAATGCTGGGAAATTAAAGAGATCAAAAAATACAAGTCAGGAGAGGAAGATCAAAATGTTCATTGATATTACAGTATTGAAAGGATAAAATAGTGCACAAAGACCTATATCTTGTCTGAACGAGAGGAAGGCAAGAGGCATCTATCCCTAAAATACTATGAGCTTTATGATGCATCAGTAAATGATTATTGGTGGTGTGACATGATGGGATAGAACTTCTCCCAAAGCGAAGAAGGATTTTGTACAGGAACAAACACAAAGTATGGGAAACAATGGAGATTGAGGGGAAGAGATGATGAAAATGTGGGAGGAAAATGGCATAGTGGGAAACGAAAATGTGAAAGTGATATGAAGGGGGAAAAGAGATCAGATTAATGGGAAGAAAAGAAAAATAGGATGAATTATTTAAATTAGGAAATAAGATAGACAAGAGTGGGAAAGAAAAGAACTAAGAAACGGAAGTTTTAAGCAGTAACAAAAAAGCAAGCTGGTGTTTTTTGAGGGAATTAATACATATGGGCACACATTTTATTCTGCTGCCTCAAAAGGTGGATGGAGGTGATGCTCAGTAATTCTCCATTTGTGACAAGTTCGTAACTTCTCAGGATTATCCATGGAAGGCAAAAAAGAAACAGACAGTTTTCAATATGCACACTACCATCTGTTTAAGGGCTGTATCCACAGCAACTAGAAATCAAGACAAAAATCAGTCACCATGTAACCACACTCCCGTGAGAATCCAGCAACGTAAGATAATTTTTTCAGTTTCTAACAACATATTCAGACAGAGTACTGCTGAACATTTAAGGGATAAAATGAGGTACATCAAGTAATGAAGTTGGTGGTTTATGTTCAAATTCTACCACATACTCAACCTACTCCTCGAAGTTACGGGTGTCTGAGAACCCAGCACTCACATGCACAGCTCTGTGCTTCAGACTCCTCCAGACCAGAACACTTCAGCTAGAGAGAGACTGCGAAAGGTAAAGCTCAAAGAATTGCCAGCAAAGAAATTCTGTGGTGGTGTTTTTTTCTTTTTTTGTAGAAAGCATCGAGAGTGAATTCTGCTTTGGATAAAAGAGCTCCGTGAACAGCAGAAAAAAAAAAAAAAAAAAGATTAAATTATTTACATTCCAGTATCTTGGAGATACAGTAAAAACAACTCAGGAGAAATGTTTTTCCCCAGTTTCTTTCAGGTTTTTTTTCGCATTTTTAAAAAACTTTAACTTTTTTTCATGTTAGCTTGTGCAACTTGTCAGGCTCGCATTCTTCAGAACTTCCTGAAAAGATTTGAAGAATAAGCTTACTACAAAAAGCATCTATTTAGGAAAGGGGCCTCCTTATGGCCAGAACAGAGTTTGCCACATTGCACAGACAATGGAGCACCATTAAAACCACCTGTCATGTAATTGTGTTCCTCTGCCATGATACTACTGATATGCAGGAAAACTGCCTTGTCTCTTTTCTCAAACTGATGAACTGAAGAGTAAAGGAGTAGGAAAAATGAGCACAGCATCTTCTCAAGGAGCAGCTAAATAACATTGTTGCACTGTGGCATACAGAGAAAGTTAAAGTTCACTTCCCTCGCCCAACGAAATGGAAAGCAGGAGAGAAAATGTTAATTTAGCTCTCCTATGGCACATTACCTACAGACAGCAAATTGAGACTACAGAAGTCTGCACAATATTTTCCTAGAATATAATTCAAAGACATATTAGATGACTGATATATACTTCATAGCTTTTATTATTTTCAGTTTCACAAAAAAACTCCCTAAGAAACTGATCTGCATTCTTTATCAGCTTCACTCCCACAGGTAAAATTATCATCTAAATTCCATCTGTGATCTTGTGATTCCATATTGTGACCTGTTCAACTCCACTGTCTTCAAATTACACCTTTCCAAGCCTCTAAAGGCAAAAGAATTGCCCAAGTACAGCAATACAGAAAATGTTTTTCTATTTCTTAAGTATTATTTTGACATTGAAATTAGCCTGCTTGTCATTTTTACCACTACATCTCAACATTCGTGAATGTCGCTTTTTGTGATTTAGTTGATGGCCAGTAAATTCTGTGACTGAGTCATTAAAAAAAGGCTAGTCAAAAGCTTTCATGACACATCTTTTCTGAAGAGCCTCTCTGAAACTTCACACATTGATCTCATTGCCTCCCGATCACCGGTTTCACAGATGAGCACTGTCAGTTCAGTAAATGCTGTGCTGAAGTTAAAGGCCAAACATGAAGGTAACTTGAAAGTGTTTCACTAATTTGTAAAGGGAAGCACTTCACTGCTGTTCAAACAATGTTCATTTATTTTACTTAAAACCCCTCCACCTTTTCAAAGAACTCTATTTGAAGTCAAACATGAAAAGATGTTTTTGTGCTTTCATTGTTCATAGCCTAAGGAGAAGATGAGAAGAAAATGTTATCAACTCTTCTTTTATCATTCACCATTCTGAACTTATGTACCATTTTTTGCAATTGTGTCCTTCACAACTGGTAATGGCTTCTTCCTCCCATCTGAAGAAATTTGGCTGCACTCTTCACAGCAGCTTGTAGCCCAGCATACACTTTCAATACATTTTCTATAGCAACAGAAACATTCCAGAACTGAGTAATTTCTAGTTCAGTTCTTATGTTAAAACTGATTAATGTTCTAACGAGAATAGAGAAAAGGAGATTAGGACCTTCATCCTGAGGAACATTTCATCAGACTGAAACGTTAAGAAATGAAGGAAAACAGAATTATGTCATCAGAGACTGGAAACAAAAATTCATACTCCAGTTGTTGGCCAAAGCTTTCTGCCATCACACCTCTAATTCTGGCAACATATTAACAGTAAGATAGCTATACCTACTTGCACTACACTACCTTGAACATGAGAACCTGTCTATCAGTAGAGAGCTGTGTTTCAGGCAGAGGAAACAGTAAAGACCTCAAATTGCTAGGCTGTAATTAAATTATGAGCAATATATGTTCACATAGAGCAATGCAAGGCCCATGTTGTCCGCTAGGTTTGATAGAGTAGTAACACATACATCTAAGATACTGGAAAAAGTGAATTGAGACACCATCTGCCTTGTTTTACTGCCCTACAGCATGAAGTATGTGAATATCTGCATTTGCTGGTTTGACTAAAACAAAGAAAAGAAAAAGGCTCTGCTATTCTACTCAAGGAAATAAAATGAGCAGTAAATGCAGCAAACAGAAAACCTCAGTGGTCAACCTGTGTAAGAAAGAGAATTTAATTGCTGCACTTTCTTAAAAGAAATAAGCCTTATTCGAAGTACACCTGCAAACAAAGAAGTTATGTAGCCAATTTTCAACCTCTCTGAAAAGGATGCTAGCAATACAAATACTCAGAAGAGTCAGGAGCATTTTGACTTCCTAACTTTCCACAATGACTCTTACTAAATACCACCGGGAGGCAATGACTTTACCTTTCAGCCTAATTTTCGGTGAAAGAATCCTGGAAGTACTGATATCCGTACAGGATTGTCTGACATTCTGCTCGCATCTTGTGAAGCAGTTTTAACCTATAAAGCTATATTAGACACTTAAAAGGCTAATAGCAGTACAACAGTGTATGAAACACTGATGGAGAAGAATAAAAAAATACATTATTTTTAAGAAACAGGAACCAAAAATATACATGAATCAAAAATTTATTTTTCCCATAACTTAATATAATCCTTAAAGAACGTATATCAATACCTGCTGCTGCCTTTGCCGCCTCATGTGGTTAACCTGAGACATCATGATTTGACGATCCAGTAACTCCATTCTCTGCTGCCTCTGGATGTCAACTGTTGCTCCCATTCCCACTCGAACTTCATTCGTTGGTTCCGCAGATGAGAAGATTGGTTCAAGAGTCCAAGAAAATATCTTTGCTACCCAGCTGGGTACACAAAGAATTCTATGAATTTTTAATATACTGCTATTGTAGCAAATCCCAGAAACCTAAAACCAGAAATTAAATGTTAAAAAAAACCCAAAAAACTTAAATACACCAAATTTACTTTGTATTAGGTTGCAGACAGCAGTTGGTGTTTCTGTTTTTTAAAGTACTTTTTATTGTATTTACCCAGAGTTCTCAGTCAAGAATCAGAGAAAGAACAGGGGATTTCTTTACCTCCAACTTCCCCATAACTACAGACTATTACTTTTAAAAAATCTGTGCACTGCATTCCCGGTGACTCAGAGTGCTGCTTGGGTTTTTTTGTTTGTTTCAGAATTTGAACCCAAACCAAGTGACCGTTTCTCAAACAGATCAAAATTAAAGCAAAATTTTCATTTCTAGTAGAGGAACTGCATGCTGACCAGAGAAGATTAAGGCTTCCCTTGAGGATTGTGAAGCATTGTAAACACTCTTTAAAAAAACTACCCCTTCAGACTTCTGCCCTCCCCACTCAGGTCTCTCCTTCTGCTAAAAACAAAGGCAAAACAGCTGATTTGAAGTTAAACCTAAGATCATGTACAGACTTATCTCAAAATGATTCCATCTACCTTCTAGGATAAAAAAAAAGTTCAAAAAATCAGGTAATTAAAAACCGTGATACTGAAAAAAGCCAGTCTTTCTGATCCCTTCTCCTACCTGTCAGAAAAAAACCCATTCCCTGCGTTCACACTCATGCTTGCCTTGCAGTTTGATTTAATTTCAGATTCAGGAAGAGCAACACAAATTCATGTGTCCCATAAATGATCTACAGTCATCACTCAACCATCATTTTAAACCTCATTATGAAGCTCTAGCACTTGAGCCAACAGTGGTCCAGCAGGAAGGCCAAAGCTCTTGCACAAACTGGATTCTGCTTTATGCCACATTTCAGTGTTTGTGACTATTTACTGTCTGTTACACCACAAGAATTACGCTATGACAACAGAGTGAAATGAACAGGAAGAGCTGTGAACCCCAAAAAATCCGTAAATATACCCAAACAATGCAATTATGCTAGAAGCAATGTAGAAACTCCATATCTGGGCTATTTATTTGGGGATACTTATTTTATCCCACTGTCATTCATATAAACATACCAAACGCATTGCTGCATATACAAAAGGAGATGGTACAGGAAAATGCAACATACTTTGGGAGTGGGATATTTTTCAGATTATTTTCAAGGTTATTGTTGTTATATCCAGTTATATCAAGGTTATCCAGTGAGATAATAAGACTTGAACAAAAAAAAAAAAACCATTCTGCTTTGGGAAACACTTATCTTCATTTTATTCTGCTTTAATTTTATGACCACTCTCAGGGTTGGATGCATCACCAAACACAGGATACCATTCTAAAACGACAAAGAAAGTTTTAAACCACCCCTAACCCCTTCAATCTTTTCATGCTATGAGGAAGGAGGTAAATGGGATGGGTAAGAGGAAGGTCATAATCTCTGGCATAGTGAATCTCTTAATAGTGAAGGCTACTTTAACAAAAATTTTCCATATTCAAAGAAAGGTCCTGACCAGACTCCAGGAATGACAGGGCTCTGGAACAGATGCTTCTTCATGACCTCAGCTCTAGTGAAACTGCTCAAGATGACTGCAAGCCCACAACCAAAACCTGCACACGTCAACTGGAAACTAAGATAGAACTAAAATCGCCAAAGAATAAGTGAAGGAAAATTCATATAATTTCTGCAATGCATCTACTTTTGGTATCTAGTACTTGCAGTATCTACCTAGCAAGAAGGTCCCTCAGAAGCTAACCACCTGGTCCCAACAGAGTTACATAGATGGACTCCCCATTCAAGAAAACCTAGATTGTACGGCTACCAGAAGGGTCACTGTTTTGGGAGCAAGAATTATTGAACCAGTAAATATTACATATACATTTAATCTGATCATTTCTTAGATGCAAAATGCACAAGCAGCACCAGAACCGACAAATTATTTTCCTTCCTCCCAGCCCGTATTGTTAGCCTATGGAGCCAGACCCCCTCTTTGGTCCCGGGGATTTTGCATTCCTGGTTGCACAGGCATTTTAAGAGTGCTCCAGCTCAAAATACTTTGTCCAACATCACACCAGCATTCCCTCACTTCTTCCAAATGTCCATCCCAGCTACTGATCTCTGCCCACACTTATCATCTACAGTCTTTGTTAACGTCTAATGTTTTCAGGGCACCCTAAACCTTGATGAGTTCAAAAAGTCACAAAAGCAAAACAACTGGTGATAGGAAAATCTACATCTCCCTGAATGTATGACAAATCTTGACACGTGTCTCAACACATTAACCACAAACAGAACCATTCTTTTATCAACTCAAGATAAGAAAATACAGCTAAGAGCAGCAGCATGTCTTTAGTGTCAATACTTTGGGACTTGTTTATTTCAGAAGGGAAAGTGTACTGCAAGTACCAACTAGTAGCTGCATCAGTAAAAGCATTCTCGTATTTTTCTAAGTAGAGACAGCTAGTCATAGAATCATAGAATCATTTATGTTGGAAAAGACCCTTAAGATCAAGTCCACCCCTTAACCTAACACTGCCAAGTCCACCACTAAACCGTGTCCCTAAACACCACATCTACACTCTCACTCTCAAACAAGTGATTCAACCACTTCCCTGGGCAGCCTGTCCCAATGCTTGACAACCCTTTCGGTGAAGAAATTTTTCCTAATATTCAATCTAAACCTCACTTGACGCAACTTGAGGCCATTTCCTCTTGCCCTGTTTGGGAAAAGAGACCATGACCCAACTCATTACAACTTCCTTTCAGGTAGTTGTAGAGAGCAAGTCATTCCAGAGCATTTAATCAGAAGAAAAGGCTCTATAAGCCTAAAAGTTTACAGACACTGCTAAAATGGAGAACAGCACTTAGCACTGCGTGGCTCCTACTTGCCTTCCGAGCTTTACTGAGCTCACTGGAGTAGCATGCCTGGTTTATAGCCAATGCACCAGTTGCAGTGGGCTGTCTTCTCTTTCCTTGCTGCTCTTCAAGAGTAGCCTGGTGTCTTGGCCCCTCCTTGTCCTGCCGTAGACAGAAACCCATTGCATAACCCAAACATGTGGACTTCTGTGCTCACAGAGCAGGAAGTCGAGAAGTCTGACAATATAAAGTTCACAGTAAAATCTAAGACAAAAAGCACCCGGAGAAGGACCAAGACAAAACTGCGGGACTAGCAAAAGAGAAGTGTATCTTCTACATGTAGTTGCCAAGAAACTTACTGTGGACAAGTAATTGTTCAGAGAAATCGTGTGAGACTGCATTTCTTCACAAGTATAAACAGGTGGAAGGACAGATTCAGCTGTGAAGAGCACAAAGTGTACACTGGCAATCCACCTTGTTATCTGCCCTTCTGTTAGGATTTCAGTGCCACTCCCCTTTCTCTCTCCTTTGATTTAGTACTCCATTTATAAAGCTATTAGATAGAAGTAGAAGAAACTTTAAATGCTGCGCTCAGTTTTAACAAACTTTCAAGAAGTTTCATCTAGAGAGGAAGAGATACGTAGTTGCATATTTCCAATAAACCCAGAATGGAGATATTTGTAGTTAAAATAGGTCTCGTGATTCAGTCTGAGTTAGTGTCATACACTCATCTTAATGTCAAGTATTTCCAAAGAACTTCCTCTTTAGCTGGTTCATATGCAGAACTTGACATATATCATTAAAAAAACCCAAGCTTCAACAAAGTATGAAGTAACTTTTTACACTATTTTTGTTACAGACAGGTAGTGAATTTCTAGTTTTTAAGAAAGTAAACCAGTATTTTTAGTCAATGAAGATAAGATGATCTCATTATATCCCAACTTCAGCACTGTACATCAGATTAAAGGGCTACTTCCCCACACAGATGAGCCTCCAGGGTCTTTTAGGCTCTAAAAAGTCACCGCAGAAAGACGTTGCCGTTAAGTTCACGTTGTTAGAAAGGAGAACTTTTGGCTGGTAAAATGCATCTTAGTTGTCCTCTGTTAGTCACACCATCATAACCCACAATGTCATCCACCATATGGTATGAGGCAAATGCTAAGCAGAGGAACTTGGAGTATCCTGCAAATTGTCTGGTACGCTGCAGAAAAAAGTGTGCTTACATTTTTTCCAGTTTCTTAACATTGTGGCTTAGTACTGGTCCTTCACATGAAGTTTCCTAACCTTTTCCCACCCCTGCAGAAAGCCCAACTTCCCCTCCCCTTCCCTTGTGCCTCCTCAAAGTTGTACACATTTTAGAAAAAAGGAAGTAGCTGCAGTTTCTCTTTTACATCAGGTAAACCAAACATGGAAGGTCTCCAATATTTTACATGACAAAAACACATACGCTCCCCTACTAACTGAGATATTTAAGATCACTGTACTCGATTATCATTAAAAAAGGAAATAAACCAGAAAAAATAGTAGGCAGATTGGCATAGAAAATCACGTGAAAATTATTTTGCCTAATGGTGAAAACTTGATAGCAAACAATGATTTTGTTCTGAATATTTATCATATCATATGTATTCAAGACTTTGCTGATATCTTTGCTTTTCAGATATCAACAAACTGAAAACAAATACGAGTATTCTTAAGGTGAAGTGACATTTTAATACCTATTTTATCTGCTTTATCCTTAGAATGTTCTGAATCCCATACAACTAGAATCAAAACAAGGGGAAGAGGATAAAGTTTGTGTTGAGATTCTGCATCTACCTTGATTAAAGAAACACATTTATCAGTTCAAGAGAGATCATGTGAAAACCACCCAACAAATAAAATCACTACATAAGGATTTTCAACTTGTAGTTATAAGCTACAATGTAACTGTAACACAACAGATTATTTTGTTCAGGGTTTTTTTGCAGAAACAGTTACTAAGAGTATAAACAGCCTTTTGCAATAGTTAGCTTGACAGAAAAATAAGATGCTAATAATAATAAACTGATTTTCTTCAATTTCCTTCCCAACTGATTGGGCTCATAAATTTCCCAGATACCTTGAATTTTTTTCTTTGGAGTCCATCAATGCTATCTTCATTGGTCAGGT